CAGAGCTGTGCACAGAGATTGCTCATGCAGGTGTCCCCGTGGGGATACTGCCCTCAGTGCCACCCCAGGGGATTCCAGAGAATGGGAAATTCACTGAGAGAAAAGGAGTTTTCTGTGAGTTTAGAACACGCTGTTGTATCCCACCTAGAGTGAAAGCTTGCAGGGGACATGTTTTGAACTAATTTCTTTTGCTTTTAATGAGACCTTGTGCACAGAGATTGCTCATGCAGGTGTCCCCGTGGGGATACTGCCCTCAGTGCCACCCCAGGGGATTCCAGAGAATGGGAAATTCACTGAGAGAAAAGGAGTTTTCTGTGAGTTTAGAACACGCTGTTGTATCCCACCTAGAGTGAAAGCTTGCAGGGGACATGTTTTGAACTAATTTCTTTTGCTTTTAATGAGACCTGAGACTCTCTGAAGACAACGAGATGCTGTTATAAGAGGATTCACTCACAGAAAATCCAAAGCACAGGCTGAGAAAGTTGTGTGGAGACCTCACAGGAACCTTCAGTATCTTGAGTCTTTGTTAGGAACTGTAATGATAGGATAAGGAGTAATTGGTATAAATTGATAGAGGGGAAATTTAGATTAGCTATTAGGATGAAGTTTTTTCCTATGAGGGTGGTGAGACACTGGCACAGGTTGCCCAGGGAGGTTGTGGATGTCCCAACCCTGGCAGTGTTCAAAGCCTTGAGCAACCTGCTCTGGTGGGAGGTGTCCCTGCCCAGGGCAGGGGTTGGGACTAGATCATCTGTAAGGTCCATTCCAACCCTTTAACATTCTATGATTCAATATGCACAGTAGAAATAGGGGGGAAAAGGACTAGTTGGACTGAGTTGTTTTCATGGTGCCTGTATCTCTGGATGAACTCCAAGCATCATGAGAAAGAGAGTAGTCTGAGAAGAAAAAAATTCCCACAGGTCATCAGATCTTACTTTCTCCATGCCTAATCCAGCTGTGATTCATAATTTTAGCCATGTTGTATTTTAAGAAATAGGAAACATTTCTCTCTCTCATTTCTTTTTTTTTTTAAATGCATTTCAGAAAATACTTTGGAGAGAAGATTGGTCTATATTTTGCCTGGCTGGGAGTTTATACACAAATGCTCATTCCGGCTTCAATTGTAGGGATTATCGTTTTCCTCTATGGCTGTGCAACTGTGGACGAGAATATACCCAGGTAAAATAAGTAAATAATAGATTCTATTCTTGGAGGGCACTAGAAACTCCAAGTTACCTTTCTTTAGAAATGTTTTGTCTGAGATTGAGGGTGAGCACAGCCAAAACTGTGGCTCCCAGTTCTTAGCCCTCGCCCTGTGCCACCACATCCCAACACCCCCATCTATGTTCACTGGCTGTGGCTTCCTGAGGTCTGTCTGTGCCAACTGGCTCTTGCTGGAGTACTGTGTGCTCCTACCACTCCCCATCCTCATGCCCTGCACACCTCATCTTTTGAAAGCTGTGCTTAAAGTTAAGCCACCTCCACAGGGATGGGGAGCTTACAGCCCCACGGAGCTCTGCTTCCAGTAAGGGATGGAGCACTACCAAGGGCACAAACCAGCCTGTTTTGAAATCATTAGCATTTATTGTTACTTGTGGAGGTTGTATTGATGTACTAAAAATAATTCTTGGCCAGTTGCTCAGGTGATTGGTTTTTTCCTCACTCAGATCATTATGTTAAAACAAACCAACAAAATACTGCTAATGATGGGGTTTGGTGCTTCCCAGCACGAAATGCTGAGGAGGGCATTGTGTGACAGAGAGATGCATTGAGAATATATATCCCTCAGAGAAGCAACTGTGATCAGATGAACAAAATCTTGGTGTGCTACTATTTTTAATTTTTAAGTAAGGTTTTGTATTGTCATTTTTAAAGCCCTCTGATTTTGCATTATTTGCCCTGTGTATGCATCATCAGCTGGTGATGCTAATTACATAGTTCGTACAACAGCCACGAGCCCTGAATAACAAAGCAGATAATGGATACCAAAGCAATCTTTATTCATTAAGATTGCTTTGTACTGCTTCCAACAGTTAAAGAAAGTCAAAGGGAGGGTCACTGTTGCTATTTCACAGATGGAGTGCAGAGAAGATAAATTGGTTGAACTCCAGTCCCTTGATACTCAGCACTTCCCTTGTTGTACCTTATCTATCACTGTAGTTAGTATTTCAAAAGAAGAATATTGCATTTCATTTCTCTCTTCTCTCTTCTGTTGTAAAAAGCATAGAGTCATATGCCTCTCATAATGCTCTCTCTTATTCCCTGGACTAGAACTAGGCCTGGGGAGAGAGGTGTGAGGATTTCAGCCCCTGCAATTCTGGACTAGAACTAGGCCTGGTGAGGGAGGTGTGAGGATTTCAGCCCCTGCAATGGAGTAGGATATGGACAGAGCTGCTTGCTGGGGCAAGAACTGGGAAGCAGTGTGAGGGTATCATCAGATGATGCTACAGAGCAGAGCCAGCTGCTGTCCAGAGGAAAAAAGATCATCAGAGCATGAAGATGGAGCCATACTGACCGTGCCTGTTCCATATCTTGTTGCTTTGTTGCAGTATGGAGATGTGTGACCAGAGAAACAATATCACCATGTGTCCCTTATGTGACAGAACGTGCAGTTACTGGAAGATGAGCTCAGCTTGTGCGACTGCTCGTGCAAGTCATCTGTTTGATAACCCTGCAACTGTCTTCTTCTCAGTCTTCATGGCTCTCTGGGGTAAGAAGATCTATGCCTTCATGTTAAGTTTTTAATTATTTAAAATATAACAGGAAGAAACAAAAGAGATAAAGCAGTATATTTATACTCAGGCAGTTAATTATATAAAGAACTTCTCTTTTTTTTTTTTCCTTTTTTTCTTTCCCATGAAACTGTCACACCCAAATTTATATTCTGGACTGGAGGCTAAAATTCAAAAAGTTGCTCAAGCTGAATATCAAATGAAATTGTTAAGCATCTGTCATAAAACTGCTGCGTGGTATGTCAAAATTTCATTAACAGGATTGCACAGCTTGCCAAAAAGAAAAAAAAACCCATCTCTTTGCAGAGCCAGCTTCCACTTTAGAACATTACAGAAGAAATGTATTAATGTACTCTGGGCTTGAGGGGAGGGTGCTGGGGAGAAGTGTAATGGCCTTTAGCGTCTTCAGGACAAACCAACATTGATTCTTGAGTGTGCTCCGAGATGCAATTAAGTTTATCAGCAGGCAAACATCATGCAAGTAGACCATAGAGTGGGAACAGTGGTGTTAGAGGTATTTTTCCTGATGCTGGCTGCCTTCAGACTTTGAGCACATCACTTAACCCTTCTTGGCATGGCTCCAGAGCTTGGTTAAATATATTAACCCTCTCATGAAATCTTGGTGAGTGTCTTCAGGAATGGTTATAGAGAGCTTATCTCCTCCCTGCTGGAGGGATGGGGACCTCCTTGCTCAGGCACCCCATGGGTGCTGGGGGAGAGGAGATTCAATGGCCACATACTCCCAGCTTCAGTGAGAGCAGCACAAGATGACATTTGCCTTCCTGTACACCTGTGACTTAACATAACTTGTTTTGGATTATGTTTCAACCTAATAATACACCCTGAGTTTTTATTTGTTCTAGTATACAGGGAGCTGCTTTTACATTACCATTCATCTGAACTGATTTAACTGCAGTTCAACATAAAACAATTTAAAGCAGTGTCTTTTGCACCAAGGTTTCTGTTTGACATAACGATGCTTTAGATGCAATGCTGTGAGCTCATTATCAAGTACCATAAGGAAGAGATAAGGACAGAGGGATTTTGAGAACAGTGGGGTGCAGATTTGGAGGAAAAGCTGGGAATTGGTGGGGGGAGGTTGAGCTCAACCAGCTTCACAGCAGAGAGGAGGGATTGCTGTCTTACAGATCATCATTTTGCCATGGAGCATATAGGGAGAAATACGATATACTCTAAAGCAGGATGCAATGTCAGAGACTTTAAATAGTCCAATTCTCTCATGCAGAGAGTCAAGTATCAGCCTCAGCCTCCTTAATTTACCATTATTGTGAACCCCAGATAGATCTCAGTACATTATACCTTGTTGTCCAAAAAGTAACAGTTTGCCTCCTTTCCTTAGCAAACAGCTATGGTCTCTCCATCCATTCTTTTCACACTCTTGGGCAAAGTAAGGCAGATTGGCAGAAGCCAGTTTTTGTGCTCTGTGTGGAACCAGGCTTAATACCTGAGAGAGTTTTGAGGTGGGATGCGAAACTCCTCGACTTCCTTGGAGTCAACATAAAATTTCATTGTGTTACAATGGGATATAAAACAAATGTTGTTTCAAAGAGATTTTTTTTTCAGTTGGGAAAATAAGAATTTTTTCCATATAGTTTTGAATCTGTGCTATTACATTCAAGCCCAGATGAAGAGTTGAGGCAGAGAAGACCCAAGTAACCTGCTGGGGTGACCCAGGACACCCTTAGCACAGCAAGAAAATGAGCCCAAGGTCAGAGGTATTACCATGAGCAAAGATTTGGCCAGGCTGGCTCTGTATTGTGGTGGTATTGTAACACCTCGATGAACTCCACTCCCACAAGCATTAAACTAGCTATAGAACCAAAATGAGCCCTGGTCAGAAGTTCAGCATTAAATATGGACTGTGGCCCAGTGCTGTTTGGTATTAAATGGCATTAAAAATGTCAGAGAATCCAGATAAGATCATCTGGACAGCAACCTCTGGGAATTTTTAAGCTCCACTTACGCTTACGAGCCCAGATGAAGTATGAAAATGCAGGTACTCTTGGCAGAGTGACAGTGCATCACTCCCTGGCACCTTCACCGAGGGCTTCTGAAATGAGCTGGCTGTGTTTCAGACAGTCTTTGCATTCTGAGTCGTAAGTCAGTGCCACGGAAGGATTTCTAGCAGCACAAAGAAATGACATCTCGTTCATTTTCCATAGCTCTGGCCGTGCGTGGAAGCTGCAGTTGGGCGTGAGAACTCGGCAGTGGGGAGAGGGGAGGCAATTCCACAACTGTGACACAGACCCTCTTAGGAGGCAGCTAAGGGCCATCCTGATTTACAGGAAGCCTGTGGCTTGTGAAGGGACTCAATTGTAGCTTTTCCACGTGAGAGTTTCTCTTGGAAGGCGAATGAATGTCATGGCCCCAGCCTGGCTCTAGTCATGAGGGTGTCCTTTCCTCTCTATTTAAGTTTCTTACCCTCTCCCTGCCTGTTTTTTCTGGATATGAATGTTTCTGAGCACATCTGTTAATACTCACTGCGGGAAACTCCCCTGGGAACACCATTTCTTGGTAGACTTGCCTCTTTCATAATCACTTATTTATTATGCAACACTGGTGTATTCCCAGCATCTAAATATGTCCTCTGAGAACTCGCTTGGTCTCAGGGGCAGATAGACTGATATAGACTGGGACCATTCATTGGGACTCAAGAATTGCTTTAATGAGGTTGTTTTCTCCAAGTCTTCTCCATCAAAAAGAAAATAGTAGTGTTTTTAATGATAAAAACCCTTCAAGGCTTCCTCTTTCCCAGCCTACCCACCTGCAGCTTTCACACTGCCATGAGTATTTGGGTTTGGGTGTGATGATTAGAGCCAACCATACTATTATGACCACTATATAATGATACAAAAATGTTTTGTCTTGATAACTCTGAGGGAATAACTCTATCATCAGTACAAGGTTAGTTAAATCATTCATATTTTGTACAGATAAAACACAGGTTTGTTTGAACTTAGGGATGAAATGATGTGCAGATGAACACCACTAATATCATTAGTCACACACACAAATATGTAAATAAGCTTAAGTGCCTGACTTTCTTAGACCCCTTAAAAATTGCAGGCACCTTTCTGCAAAAAGCTGTGGATGTAACAAATGCCCTTTTTTTTTTGCTTACCTAGATAAAATGTTGGGCTCCTGGCACATCAGCATTTCCCAGACAGACCTGACTGTTGAGTAAAAGAGAACAAAAATGAAGTTCTATGGTACTTAGATGTTACATGTTAAACTCTTGTTGCAGCTGCCACCTTTATGGAACACTGGAAGAGAAAACAGATGCGTCTCAACTACAGGTGGGACCTGACTGGGTTTGAAGAGGAGGAGGTTTGTCCCTTCAGTTCTGACTCTTTGACTTCCACTGTGGTGTTACCAGTAGCTCCTTGCCCTGACCTGACAGACATTGCCTCATGGGGAACTGTTCCTGGGGTGGTTCCATCATTTAGAAGAAAGGAAAATCTCTATACATGAGCTATTTGAGGTTTTTGTAGTTAGGGTATGACTAGTATGTCTTGTTGCCATAGAAATGTAATTGTATAGCCACAAAGTGTAATTTTTTTGGAAGTGTGTAGTCAGGTCACACCTAGCAGTGTAGGCATGGAACATACAACTCAGACCTTTCTGCTAGGCTGATGTCAGGGTGCCAACAGCTAAGGATCTCATTCATCACACACTGCTGTAAATCAGAAACGAATGTATTGAACTTGATAAAGTTACAGCACTGTAAAAGAGCACTGAAAAATTCCTATTAACTTTAACGATTCAAGATCAAGCCCTGACTTGGAAAATACCTAAGAAAACATTGCCAGACATGTGGGCTTGGGGCACTGGGAGGGACACACTGTGGAGGTGGTGGGTTTTTTCCGTTGGCTAAAAAAAATTAAGTAATAGCCCTAGCCAAGTTTATACTGGGTGGGTTTTTTCCATTGGCTAAAACAAATAAAGTAATAGCCCTAGCCAAGTTTATACTAAATGTGCTAAAGAGTATAAAGGGGAAAAGGGCAAATCTGTATGATGAAAGGTCTTCAAAATCAATTAAGTTTAGAAGGAAAGGAGAGAAAATCCTCGGTCAGCTGAGAAACTGTATCCCACCTTTTTGGTTTTTTCACTTTTCAAAAAATCAAGGACACACCTTCCTGGAGCAGAGCACAGTCCCAGCCCCCAGCCTTGCCCCATGGCTGTTACTAAAAGAAGTCTGACCTCCCCTGTCATATCTTTAGATGTTCTAAATAGATGCACAACAAATACTGCTCACGTGAAACAAAAGCTTCAGCAGCACTGGGTTTAACGCTATGCAGCTCACTAAGCCTGGCACAGTTCCTTCCCCCTCACCCCCAAAGTCCTTCTGTTTGAATTCTCTCCCCTTAATATGTTTATCTCCTCCGTGATAGATTTAGGTGCCCTGTGCCAGCAGCCTCTGTGCTTTGCTAGTTCCTACCTGTTTATTGGGAGAGAATATAGGGATTTATTTCCTGGATACTATACTGCTCTTTTATTTTTGGTAACTTGTTGTTAGTAGACATGAAAGTAGAGAGGATTAAGTGTATCTTTCCGATGTCTATCCCCTTCATGTCTGAGTTCAAACCTCTACACAGCTAAAAGCAGCTGTTAATACAGTATATTTTATACTGTGTTTTGGGTAGTCAGTGCTAGATAATATATACTAGCTCTGATTTAGGGAAGCTTAAGCTAGTATTGTGTGGAAGAATCAGAGTTTCCAGTCAAATACTAAACCCCAAAGTGTCTCATCTTCTGGTGTTTTTAGGGACACCTAGTTCATACAATATTACAGTAATGTGAATAAATGTAGAACGTGAGTGACTCATGCTTCTCTGGTAGCATCTAGCCATCCTCTGTGCCTATGTTTGGTTTGTGTAATTTTGAAAGTATAAAGCCAATGTGATCTGCAACAGTTCAGTAATCAAATTTTTGTTTATTTGTTTGTTTTTTTCTTGTTTTTCTTGGTTTTTTTCTGGTTTCCTGAAGGAGGCAGTCAAGGTTTGGAAAATATTTTTTTTTCATAGCTCCTACCTTTTTTATTCCATATCTACTGATGAATGCCATCTCTTGATCTTCATTTCTTCTTTTTCAAGCATCAGATTTTCTTTGGATTCCCCACTGATTGCTTTGCCTTTACACCCTCCCCCTTTCCACTTCTTCAGACTTTTTTCAGCTCCGTTCTGTTTCCCATCCGACGCATAACTTTGAATTCTGACTTTTATGAATGCATAATTATTGTGAATTCTGAATCTGTGAATCTTCCTGAATCTTTTGGCTGTCTCTGACTTCCAAATGTTTCCTACCCCCTCTCCTTCAGTGCACACAGAGAATCTGTGGATGTTGTCCAAGACAGAATTAAGGGAACACCCCAAAACACCCCAACTGACAATTTTCTGGGATCCCAAAGCCAAATATTTTGCACTCTTACAGCAGAAAATTGATTCCCTCATGAGCTGAGGATCACTGAAATTGCAGTTTTAATTTTTTTATCAAATTAATTTTAATTCCAATTAAATTTAACCTTTGATTTTGATCAGAAATCTAGGTAGTTAAAATCCAAGCATCATGTCACTTGGTGTGAGCCTTGCTGTCTGCAGGTTGTGCTGTGAATCTCATGTGTTAAATTTAATCTACATAGTAGTGCACGTGGCTGTCCAGATCATTCAGCAGTTGCTGCTGTAGAACTGTGAATGATATGGGATTTAACACTTTTTTTTTTAATTGCAGTCAGCTCTCAGCTGACACGAATGACATACCAAGTGAATCGGAATTCAGTTAGAAAACTCAGAGACTATCGGGAAATCGACCTGCAAACAGTTCATATGTGGCTGATAAAGAAAAGAAGTAATTTTGCTTTTTATTAAATATGTCTTATTTCACAGGAACATCCAAGAGCAGAATATGAAGCTAAAGTTTTAGAAAAGTCACTGAGAAAAGAACACAAACATAAAGAGGTATGGTAAAAATATTCATTTGTTTCAAGATCCAAGACTAAGAAATAGGTACAAAATAGTCACTGCTCATTGTGTTTAAATTCCAGGTGTCTTCAGTGGGATGCTTGATGTGTACCAGGGCACAAGACCTGATTAAGCCTAGAAATGCCTTTAATGCTTAGATTCAGGAGTGTGGGTTAGGGAAGCTGACTGAGCCCCACTGAAGTGCTGCTCCTGTTGTGCTAACCAGTCAAGAGAAATCTGTACCGAACTATCTTATTCTGTGCACTCAAAGTACCTACAGCCTCTCAGGAGAGGCTCTCTGCCTTGCTAGACTTTCTCTGTAAACAACAACATTAATGAACAGTACTAACACCAATTTCCATGCCAAATTCCAGCTTTGGTAATAACATTCTGCCTTTTAAAACCACAACTTCCATTTTATTCCACTGAACAAGGCAGTGCTCACTTTATGCTTTCAACTTGCTCTTTACATCCTCATGAGCAATGTGCTGCCACTCACACCAGGGGCACCTGCATCTTGCCAATGGATGGTGCAATCCCTCTGAGCAGCTTCCCTGCCCTTTGGCTGAAGGCTGTAACTCTT